ATGGTCTTTCGTTGAGACTAATCTCAAGCCATAGCAAGAAGTCTTCCACATACCTTCTCCTCCTGCTTCCCACCAGGCGGCCTCCCTAAAAATTTTCAGTTTGCCAAGAACATTTCAGCTGCAGATCTACAACAGCCGACTTGCATTTGGCACCCTCAACCTGCACACTCTCGGCAGTCGTTGGACCAGTCCCTGCATTCTGCACCTTCGCTCTAGCAATTGGCAGCCATTTTCCTTCTCCTTTCAAGATCGGCAGTTTGAAGGCTTGTTGTTTTTAACATGAGACATCAAGACCAGCAATTTGGGGACCTACTGCTTTGAACAGTAGACATCAAGAACAGCCCTGACTTTTTCAGCCAATTGCTGCTTGCAAGAACCAACAAGGAACCTTCACAATCTTCTCCAACTTGGACAGCTCAATTGAAATGTGTAATTCTAATCCCAAAAAATAATGTTGTAGTACAATTAAAAATTTAAAACAGTATTATAAACAATCTTTAGTAATCAAGTGAAATTCTAAAACTGTAAAATTCTGCTCAGTAGTTAAATATGTTGTTTACCGCTAAAGCATTATATGCATTTCTAAAAAAATTATATATCTACATTTCTTTTACTGCAATGCAATGCAATGATATATATATATGCTTATCCGCTTATGTATGATTATGATGAGATCAGATGTATGGTGGAAGTTCTAATGTTGGATATACAGAAAATCATAAGAGCCTGAATTTCTAAATATCTGATATGTGCCAGCATTGGGAGTCATAATGAAATATTTTCTAATATGCTAGCATAGAGAGTTATAATGGCTTGAATTATGGTATCTGTTTTTTATGGGAGATATAAGGGTCTGAAAAAAATTTGTTACATTCTGCTCTATTATATGAACTACTTGTTTATTTACTTTCAGCCCAAAGTCTATTTAGATATTGCTAACTACTAGCATTACATTGTTTAGTATAATAACCTGCCATTGACTGCTCTTATTTCAATAAATGCATAATGAGTTAATTATTAGGAATTGAGATCGGTAGATTTGGCCTGCTGAGCTGTGTTAGCTCACGCCTATTTTGCATTATGTTTCAGGTCAGGGGAAAGGAAATGAGTAGGTTAAGTAGTTGAAGTTGCAAGTTCTGATTTGTTTGAGTTTGCATAGATAATTTTTTAAATTTACAGTCATGGCAATGTAATCATTTGTTCTGTTTTAACCTATAGACATGTGCTGTAATGTATAAATTTGTTAGAAATAACTTTTAAAGATCAATGAAATGAAAGAAATTGTCGATGAATTTATTTTTTTGTTTATTGGAAATTAAATAGAAGCTCTGCTATTTGTTTTAAATCGAAGAAATCTAAAAATTAAATGTTAGACTAGGTTTGTCACCATTTAGCACGATATGACTGATCCATATATGGGTTATATTGGATTAGATTGTGACATACCCACCATTCAAATCTTTCACTATTCAATCGCAACTATTAGATTTGGATCCTAAATTCTCTAGAAATCTTCTTGACAACTACCTAGATATACGCACACATCCTTTACCAATACCTATTTCTATCTTACTAAAAAATTTCCAACATTTAATTTGGCCACCCCAAGGCTTAACCCCACCGCAAACCATTGATCATTGTATTCATCTTTCAGTCTTATCAAAACAAGTTAACATCTATCATTATCGCTATCCACATTTTCAAAAGGATGCTACGAAACAGTTAGATTTTGAAATGCTTCACCCCGGCATAATTCATCATAGTCACAGCCATTTTTCTAGCCTAGTGTTGCTTGTTAAAAACTAGGATGATACTTGATGTTTTTGTGTTGATTATAGAGTCCTTAATGCCCTAACCATTAAAGATAAATTTCATATTCTAATAGTAGATGAACTTTTAGATGAACTACATTGAGCTTCTCTTTTTTTCAAATTTGATCTTCATTCTGACTATCATCAAGTTAGAATGCATCCTAAATATATTCATAAAACTGTCTTTCAAACTCGTGACACTCAATTTGAATTTCTCATTATGCATTTTGGTTTAACGAATGCTCCTATATTTCAAGCTTTCATAAATCAAAAATTTCATACTTTTCTTCGTAAATTCATTATAATCTTTTTTACGACATTCTTATATACAGTCCTACCCTTGAACTTCATTTTGATCACCTTCAATCGATACTTTAATGCTTACAAACGAATAAACTCTTTCACAAGCTTAATAAATATCAATTATTTCAATCATGCATTGAATATCTAACACATATTTTCTTTCTAGATGTGTAAAACCTTATCCTAATTCTTTGCGGTCAGCCTCACCATCAAGTTTTGTTGCAATGAAAATTAAATCTACAGGATGATACCACATGGAAAAATTTTACAGACATCTCTTTGTATTTTCCTTCTCTCAACCATGAGAACCATATTATTTTCCATGGAGATGGGAGTGCTAGACATCAATATATTTTATTAAATTTTAAAGTTGTACAATCAAAGTGTGAAGCATAGGCTACAAACATGACAGACCAACCTATATGTATAAAAGTCTACCAAAGAAAAAGAATAAACAAAAACATTCACATTTCCTAGAGGACAGCAATATAGTTTTGGTAAAATAAATTCCAAAACTAAGGGTTTAGCTATCTTAGTTTATACATACATAATAAGCACTGGTTTATTTCCTTTATTACATATATATATATATATATGTATATGCATATATGTCAAAGTATATATTAATATAAGTAATAGAGAGAGAGAGAAGAGAGACTCATTCTGTATTGTAAAATTGATCTAACCAAATTACTAAAATACCCCTCATATTGTAAAAGAAGCTTAAGGATGAAATAAAATAATTTCTGATTTCTCTCCTTCTTTTTTGGAGTATACACCTACTCTAAAAGTGTCATTTCTTCTTAGATGCCAAAAAGCTCATGTGTGCCTCCCTCCTTGTTGCATATTATGTCTAAACAAAATGAAAAAAAGGCCTGACACACTGTGCCACAACATTGACGGATATATATGCCACTCCTCCCATGTTCAAGGATTAAAATATTCAGCAATCACATAATTCGAGGCGGACAAGGTTTCATAACATCCATCCATGTAACTCAAAATAGTTAACATCATCATTCCCTTGAAGATTTATCTAAAGTTTGATGCCACCATTCATAATGCTTATCTTTGATCTCTTAAATATTGTTTCCAAACAAAGATGAACTGAAAGGCCTGACTGTGTACTATATATAATATATATATATATAATATATATATATATATATAATATTATATATATATAAACTAGAATGTTCCCAGCCAAAATAAAAAGAAAGCATCATGTGCACATAAATTAATTGGAAATTCAATAAAAAAATGACCATCAAAATTTTACCCTAAGCATACTTTTATATAATTTTATATTTTTTATTTATGAATTTGGCTTGGAGAAAAGTTGGAATAAAAATTAGCATACACACGGTCCAAAATCATAAAATATATAATATAAATAAATATATGTTGTTGCCTCCATAATTCTTGAATGGATTTAAATTTACATAAATCGTCAATGGTAGTTACTTTCCACAAATCGCCATGACGATATGCCTATAAACACAATGATGCTTTCATTCATGAGGGAAATATATATAATTCATGATAAATTCATTAAGCTCAATTTCTTACTCTCTTCATGGCCAATTTATATTTAATTTTTTTTCCTTTTAACTTTCATTGTTTAGGCATTCAATAAACAAAAATGCCATAGTTGTCTTGATATGATTCATGATATTGCAAACATCGGGTGAGAAATGGAGTATTGTACCTTAGAAGTAAAGATGAGCCAAAAAATTTCAAAAGCCGAGGCAATTTGCACTAACTATAATATACAAATTTGTATGTACCTTGTTGTATGCTTTTGCTGATGATATTCTTCTTGTTGATAAGACTAGAGAGGGTGTTGAAGGAAAACTTGAATTATGGATGTTAACCTTAGAGTAAAAAGGTTTTCGTTTGAAATCGAGTATAATTTTAGCAGTAATAAAGCTAGTGGTGAGATTGTGATATTGGGTGATCAAGTCATTAGAAAGAGTGCACATTTTAGATATCATGAGTTTATTGTTCAAAACGATGGTAAAATGGAAAGGAATATTATTAGCATAATTCAAATTGGAAGGTTGAAGTGGAGGAATGCATCGAGCCTATTATATGATAGAATAATATGTCTCAAACTTTAGAGAAAACTTTCTAAGATTATGGTGAGACTTACAATGCATTATAGTGCAGAATGTTGGCAATTAAAAGAGAAACATAAAATTGTGTTGCAGAGATGGAGGATGCTCAGGTGGATGAGTGCTTTACACTTAGAGATAGACAATGAATTGAGTATATAAGCGAAAAGGTTGGAGCAGCTCCAGTGATAGATAAGATTTGAGATAGTCACCTTAGATGGTTTGGTCACATAGAAAATCGGCCTTTTGATGACCCTGTTAGAAGAGTAAATGTATTAGATCCGACCAATTTAAGAAATATAGAGGTATACCTAAAAGGCTTTGGTTAGAAAGTACTGAAAATGACCTTAGTAAGACACAATGGAGAAAAAATATTCAAGTAGCCAACTCCACATAGTAGTATAGATAAAGACTTATTGTTGTTGATATATGATGTAAATTATAGTTTAAAATCAAAATATTCGATTTGATTTTTAGCTCACATGAACCTCCTCCAACTAGAGATAATTTTTTAAGTTATGTTTAAATCCATTAGGCCAACTCAATGAAAAAAAATGGAGTAAAGCCTAGTATATTCCATTTTACATTCACCTTTTCAGCATCTAACTCATGATAAAGAGCAAAAGAGCCTAAGAAGTGAAAAGAGATAAAAAAAAAAATACTCCAAAACACGTAAATAGCACTTCTATTCTATTATCATAGAAGGTAAGGAAAATTTTACATTTTTTCTAGAAACAAATGTACAAATAGGGATGAAGGGAGAGTTGAAAACCTGGACATGAGCTTCGTAGTTCAAAGGGTTTTCCTCAAGCTGCTGCCGTAGGGCTCCAATCTGGACTTCCTCCGCAGCTTCTTCGTCAGACTCGGAATCTGAGGAACTAGGGCTGCTGACATCGCCTTTCGAACTCGTTCTGCCGACCGACGCAACTTCATCATCTCTGCCTTCATGGTTAGTGTCATCTTCGCCCTCCTTCACTAACTCCATGGAAGAAAAAAAATATGTTTTGGCGCTCGCTTGGAGATACTCGTAACCTCCAGCACGGGTAAGTCTCCCCTTCCTCCCGGAACGAAAAATTGCCCGGCCCGACGACCTAAACCGGAATGGACCCCGGAGTTTAGGTAGGTCGGTATTGCTAAGGAATCGATAAAAACGTAAAATAATATTATGTGAAGTCAAATACCGAGCAATATCGGGCAATATCGAATTCTTTTAGGTATTACTCGGTATTGCTCGGTATTGATCTTCACATAGCGGTATTTCTCATTATTGCCAAGCAATACCGAGTAATACCTAGCAATACCGAGCAAATACCGAGCAATACACGAACATAGTAATCCCGGATTTGATTCGAGTCGGATAGCCGGGCTGCACGGTAAAGAGTAAGTGCATGTGGCGACATATTATAAGCTACCTGATGTAGCTCTACGTCAGGTAATCTGACGGAATAATTTTTCGAAGCTCAGAGATCCAGTACCCGAAGTGCCCGAGACAGTTAGGAGGCGACAGAGTGGAATAACATTTTCTTAATTTTTAATTTACGACTTTAACATCGCTAAATTACATCTGGATTCCAAAATTTCATTTTATATGGCTCATAATGTCTTTAAAATAGGAGAGTTTATTACGCCCAAAGTCTCAAGAGAGCCGCTCGATTTTATAGCTATAAACAATAAAAATGTAACAGTAAATAATAAAAGTACAGTCCTGTCATAAAATTTGAATGATTATTTATATTTGTACTCTACATATAATAATCTCTCTTAAAAACATCGCCAGCACTTTTTTATTAAAAAGTATTTTCAATTTTTTTTCAAATAAAAATGCACTCCTTTTATAAAAAAAATTCAAAATCCTCTTGGAGTCACATAATAAAGTCTTAAATGAGATTATCATTTCTCTTCTTAGCACCTTCTTTTTCTCCAACAATATCAAAAGCTTCTATGAATAGTTTACAATAAATTTCACATCTTCCTCTACGGCTACATAGTCATTGTTAGCTATACTATACATTTGGTTATTTAAATTTACATTATGCATCACAATATATGCTAAAAACATATTTGAATCATCTTCACTTTTAAATAAAGTTTAAATGAGATTTAAAAAAGACTCAAAGATGCTTCAAATATGATTCGTCTCGTCGAGCCGCTCGATTCGACTATAAGCATGCCACGTTTGAAAACTGTTTGGTAATCCAAATTGTGGTTCAAACCTTCCAACAGCACTTCGGGTCCTTGATTTGGACTCATTTGGACTCAGATTGAGTTGAATTTGGTGTCGTTGGGTTCGTATTTCTGAGACGATCAGTTCAACTATAAGTTTGCTGAAATTGAAGTTCAGATGATCCCAAATTTAATTTTTAAAGTTTCCAACATGATTTTTGCCTCGAGATTCATGCCCGATCAAGATATTATTTTTAATGACATATCAGTTGCCCCCTATTTTCAACGTTGAAGCTCCATGAGTCTGAAATATATGTGTCGACATTTTAAATTGGTCGAATAACAAAAAATTGTGTTCCAAACATCAAAAGCTTGCTCAAACTTTATCATAGAGGCCCCGTTGAGCTCTGAAAGTATCAAAATTGAGTCTGGAACATCAAAAAACATATTAAGGGACCCCCAAAATGTCGGATTTGGACCACCCGGCGGCGGCACCAGCACTCACGCCGCGCCGAACAGCCGAGCCCTTCGGGGCTCGCAGTTAGCTGCGCAGTAAAGGGTAATTTTAAATTTTTTGTGGGGCCCACATTGATTTTTTTAATCCAAAAAATTTTGAAAATTTTCAAAAAATTCTGAAAACTTCTAGAAGTTTCTTTTTTCCTAAAAAAAATACTATAAATACCCCCCTAAGGTTAGGGGGAAACTTGCATCTTCTTCTTTTCTCCTTCTGACTCTCTTACATTTGAGGCATTTTGTTGTTTTATGTAAGTGACTTTCCCTACTTAAATTGACACCCCTCCTCTTGTACAGAAGTTAAAATTTTCTATTCTTTCTCTCCTGTTTTTCTTCTTGCTCTAAAGGTCTTCCGCTATTTTTTCATAGGTGACTTTCCCTACTTAAATCGACGCCCCTCATCAGTGTAAAAGAAAATTTTTCTCCTTTCACTGTCTTCTTCTCTACCAATCTTCTTACAATCGAGGCATTCCGTTATTTTTCGTAGATAACTTTCCCTACTTAAATTGGCGTCCCTTTTCTTGTGTAGAAGTTAGACTTTTGCAACATTTTCTTTTCTTTGTCCTCCTATGTTCTAACTTTCTAACATGGGAGGCATTCCATTATTTTTCGTAGGTGATTTTTCCCTACGTAAAATCAGTGCCCCTCTCAGTGTATAGAAGTTCAGATTTTTACAGCCGTTCATTTTCTTCTCCTCTTGTTTTCTTCTTATATTTGAGGCATTCCAATGTCAGAGATAGGCGGCATTCCCCTATCAAGCTTCAGTGCCCCTCTCTTGTGTAGAGGAATATGTTTTTCTCCTTGTTGTTCTCTTACGTTCTTCTTCTTATATTGGAGGCATTCCACTATCGGAGATAGGCGGCATTCCCCTATCAAGCTGCAGTGCCCCTCTCTTATATTGAAGGAGATGTTTTATTCTTGTTCTTCTCGTACATTGTTCTTCTTTCATTGGAGGCATTCCACTATCGGAGATAGACGATATTCTCTTATCAAGTTTCAGTGCCCCTTTCTTATATAGAAGAAGTCGTGATGAGAGGTTATCTTCTAAATAGATAACCCTTGACAGAAAAAGATCAATTACTACTTGTATGAGATGGTGATTTGAGAACATCTAGTGGTAACTATGTCGGGGAGGATAACCATAAGTGATGAGTATATGGGGAGACTTTATTTTCCATTTGAGCGGAAGTTTGCTAGCGATGGATAATCGAGTTGAAGTCTATTGGCATTCAACGATCGAGTGTAGAGCTAAAAGAGAAAAGTTTGAGGGTGTGTTGCAAGTAGTAGTCGAGTGATAATCCGATGATGGCTGAAGTAAAGGATCGACAGCGAACATCGGGCGAAGGGCCGATGATGATGGTGGTTTAGTTGCATTCTGCTAAGACAATATGTATCCATATTGACATGTGCAGTCATCAGATATCCCTTTCTTTGAATAAAAGGTTATAGGAGATGCTTCAATGTACAAAAGATAAGAGCTCAATAAAATTTGTCAAAAATATTTAACATTTTTGAAGTTGTTTGTTATTTGATGACTTGTACATATGATGCAGATGTACTTTTTTACTTTTATATTCTTGCAAAAATGAAATTTTTGCAATGTAACTCCAATGATATTGAGAACTTGTCATTTGGAGGAAGCTAAATTATGTTTGCATCTTTGAGGTATGCTTTGATATATTGTATAATGTATTTTTTTTTTTTTACTTTTTAGCCTGCTAAAAATTTTCATATGAGTAATAATTTCATCAACCACTTGCTTTAATATAATCTTTATAGAGAGAATGTTATTCACTCATAGCACTGTTTGACCTCTATGAAAAAGGTTGAGAGAATCAACCAAGGATGTAGGATCTTATCTGAGGTTGTATGTCAGAGCCTTTGCTCGATGATATTAACCTATATGAAAGAGGTTGAGAGAATCCATCAAGGATGTAAGACTTATCTGAGGTTATATATTAGAGCACTACTCGACGACTTACCTTATATGGAAGAGGTTAGGAGAATACACCAAGGATGTGAGACCTATCCGAGGTTATATATCAGAGTCTTTGCATGATGACGTTAACCTGTATGGAAGAGGTTGATAGAATCCACCATGGATGTGAGACCTATCAGTGGTTATATGTTAGAACCTTTGATCGATGACGTTAACCTGTATGTAAGAGGTCGAGAGAATTCACCAAGGATGTGAGACCTATTCAAGGTTCTATGTCAGAGCCCTTGCTCGATGATGTTAACCTGTGTGGATTAGGTTGAGAGAATCCACCAGGAATGAGAGACATATCCGAGGTTGTATGTCAGATCCTTTACTCAATGACGTTAACCTGTGTGGAAGAGATCGAATTGGATCCCCCTGTAATCAATTTTGCCCTGATTTGGAGGGAGCGAAAGCCGTGTGTATCCTAAATAAAAGGTGAAGAATGGTTTATCTTTAGACCGTTACTGTCTTTTTGAGATCGAGATTAAGACCTTACCCAAGAAGTAGAAGTCCAACAAGGGACTGTATAAAGCTTTTAATTGATTGGAAGCATCCTTCCATTTGCTGGGATTTTTCTGAAATATCATCTTAATGATGAAAGCATTGGAGGATCTTTGTTGACCACAGTTGGAGTCAAAGTTGCCCCCCAGTCTGCATCTGATGTAATGATGACTGATGTTAGAAAGTTGATAAGAGCGATCTTTTGAGATTGGAACAATAAGTGCCCCTCTAGTCGAGAATCACTTTCTCACAGACAACGCCAAATTATTGCGTCATGAAGTATTCATGGCCGTAGAGAAATATAAAATTTAATGTCTTAACTTTGTATGAAAATCTAGCATGTAATTAGATAAGAAAGAGGGTGTAGCATTTATGAGACACCAAGAATTTTACGTAGAAAACCCTTGAAAATGGGGAAAAACCATGAGGCCTAGCCTAGTTTGAATAAATTTACTATTATTTGCAGTCGATTACAAATGAGGCCCCTCCTTGGGGGAATGCCTTAACTTGATGTACACATATATAGTACATTACATGGTAGGAATACAAAGAATCATTGTTGACAACGGGCAAAAGTCCGGTGTTGGGTAGAAATTTGGCGTCAAGTAGAGGTCTGACGTCGAGTAGAAGTCCAACATTAGTCGGTGGTTGGGGAGAACTTCGGCATTACTTGGAGATCGAGTGGAGTTTCTGCGTCACTTATTTTGGCATCACTTGGAAGTCGGAAGGAACTTCCAACGTCACTTGGGCAGAATTCCAGCATCGCTTGGGCAGAATTCCAGCGTCACTTAAGCGTCGGGCAGAATTCCGGCATCACTTGGGCGTCGGACAGAACTCCGATGATGGTCGAGGAGGAGTTTCTTCCCTCTTATCCTTCTCTTCTTCTTCTCTTCTTCTCTTCTTCTTCTTGCTTCCCTCCCCACTCAAGAGAAATGTGGGGTCTATTTATAGTTTTTTAAGGA